GAGGAGGAGGAGGAGGAGGAGGAGGGGGCCCCACCCTGCGGCCCCGCCCACGCCGTCGAGCCCCTTCCCCGGAAGGGCGGACGCCCCATCACCCCTCTGCTCCAGACCGAGTCACCCCTTCCCAAGGGGAGCCCCTCCTGGCAGCCGGGACAACCCATCGCCGACTGGCCCCTCCCCATCGCCACCCGCAGACACCCCAGGCCCTCCTACCCCAGAGGCGGGACACACTCGCTGGCCGCTAAGCCTGCCTCAAGCTCACCCCCAACAACCTGCAGATCCTCCTCACTGCCTCCTCTGGACCACACCCACCCCCAGTCTGAAAGAATCGAGCCGCTTTCCCAGCAGATCCCAAACCTCCATATGGTCACCAGATTCCTTCCATGCCTCGCCACTTTACAACACCCCGATCGCTCGCCCCTCCACGCCCCATGGCCTGCCTAGGGAACCCAAACACCCCTTCTACCACCACCGGTCCAGAGAGCTATGTAGTGACAGGCTGGAGACCCCACAACCAAGCTGGTCCTTCTTGGTAGTCCCTCTGGAGCTGTGTAAACTAGGCGATCTCACGCGCACACGCCCTTCTGGGCCCGCGTCCCTTCAACTTTTAAGAATGGGTTGAGCTCTTGCTGGAAGGACCTAGAAACAGACCACTGTCTAATGGTGTGTTCTGACCACACCTGGCTTTGGAACCTCCCCTGCCTGGTCGCCCGGTCTGCTTGTTTCTGAAGACCCCGCCAATAGACCCCTCCCCCCAGAGGCCTCTCTTAACTGCAGGCTGATGAATCAGCTGCAGAGACGGTGACATCACTCTGACCTAAGCGTAGCTCCTAGGAATGGGTCTGCTGCTCCCCCTGAGGGAACGGACAGGGTCTTAGTCATCTGGAACAGTGTTTTGGAGTTCTATCAACCCAGACTCAAATCCTGGCTCCCTCCTTCCCTTCCTCCCTCCCCAGCCCTGTGATCTTGTATCACCTTGAACTATGTTTTCAGTATCTTAAAAATGGAGACAGAGCCTTCAGCTTTATGGCTATAATCCCAGCACCTGAGAGGTGGAAGCAGGACTTAGATGCCAGCCTAGGCTACACAAGAGACCTGTTTCAAAAATAAAAATAAAGCTGGGCAGAAGGGCTCACACGTTTATGCAAGACATGGGGGAATGCTGAGGCAGGAAAAACCGCCCAAGTTTGAGGATAACCTTGATTGCATAGTACCAGGCCAGCCTGAGCTACAATGTAAAATTGTCTCAAAAATAAGTAGGAGCCTGGCATGATCGCATACCTTTAATCTCAGGAGGCAGAGGGAGGTGGATCTCTGGGAGTTGGAGGCCAGCCTAAACTGCATAGTGAGTTCCAGGACAACCAAAGTCACACAGAGAAACCCTGTCTCCGAATAAGTAAGGTCAGTAACAGGGCTCATCGGGCAAAGGGACTTGCTGCCAAGGCTGTTGACCTGAACTGAATTGTCTAGACCCACATGATGGAAGGAGGGAACCAACTGCCACAGGCCGTCCTCTGACCTCCACCCAGGTCTCCACAATCGTAAGCACACATATGCGCGCGCACGCGCACACACACACACACACACACACACACACACACACAAATGTAATGTTAAAAAAATAAATGTATAAAGCAGGAAAGAGCATCTGCTGCGCTTGTAGACAACCTGGGTTGGATTTCCAGCATCTAATCTGTAACTAGCCTCCACTTGTAACTCCAGTTTTGGGGATCTGACACCCTCTTGACTGTAGGGGCACTGCCTGCATGCTGTGCACAGACATAGATGCAGACAAAGCACTCACCTATGTAAAGTTAATAAATCTTTAAAAAATAATGAGCCAGGCGGTGGTGGCGCATGCCTTTAATCCCAACACTCGGGAGGCAGAGTCAAGCGGATCTCTGTGACTTTGAAGACAGCCTGGTCTACAGAGTGAGTTCCGGGACAGCCAGGGCTGTTACACAGAGAAACCCTATCAATAATAATAATAATAATAATAATAATAATAATAATAATAATAACAATAATAATAAAGCTATGCCTGACCCTCATAGGTTAAACAAACAATTGATGTTGGTACTTTAAAACATGAAATAGACTGACCTTTGTACCTAACTTGTCACCTGGGTCCATTATCAAGGAAAGAGATTGACTTGAATTCTGCCTCCTCAAAGCCCACAGAATCACACTTCAGAATACAGTTGTGACCCAGGGACTGGGACACATCTGTCAGCTGCACACCTCTGAGCATGTCTGCAGCAAGAAGGCCAACATTTCACCTTGCACCTTGACAGCCTGCCCTGTCCCCTGTGGAGTCAGGATCCAGGCATTTCCATTAAATGAAGGACTTGGGTTTGGGATCTTGAAACTAGCTTCTACAGTCTTCAAACATCACTGAGAGGGAGTTGGAGGGAGGCAAAAAAGACAGGGAGAAGGATCTTGATTTAGGGGCCAGCCTGAGCTACGTAACAAATCCTTGTCTAAAATATCGAAAGTCCCAGAAATGGTTGTGGAGAGCCTGAGGTGACTCACTGTTGTTGATCTGACCGTGATCTCTCCCACTGCCTTAATAACAGCTTACACAGCTCAGCCTTGGCCCCCAACAGCCATCTGTGGGCTTCATAAATCCATCGCCTGAGTCAGCTTGCCGCATCATGAAGGACCGGCATGGCGACCAGAGCTGTGTGACTGCAGGCCAGCCACCTCATCCTGGTGAGCCCCAATTTCCCTCCCTGTAAGGTGAGGATAATAATCTTTGCTCTGCCTGCATCCCGGGTTTGTGGGTAACCAGGTGAGATAACGGTGGTAAAAATGCTGTGTAGACAGTCAATTGAGGTGTGGGTGGAGGACGAGTCCCTGTTTACAGGTGAGGTTCAGGAGCCACAGGCTGATGGGCAGGGCAAAGTCAAGCCATGGTTTCAAAATTAGGACTCAGGGTCTTTAGCAATTTTTTTTTTTTTAAGACAGGGTTTCTCTGCATAGTCCTGGCTGTCCTAGAACTCTCTGTGTACATCAAATGGCCTCAAACTCAGAGATCTGACTGCCTCTGCTTCACGAGCACTGGGATTCAAGGCATGTCCCACTGTGCCCAGCTAGCACTTACGTATGCATGTGATTCTATTTCTGCAGCATTGGAGATTGAATTCAGGGTCCTCTGTGTTGGTTTTGCAAGCCTTCTACCAGACGGGCTTTGCCTTATGTTTATGTCAATTACTGAGCCTGGGAATGTGGCTCAGTGGTATGATGTTTGCCCAGCATGTGCAAGACATTGAGTCACATACCCAGACTCAGAAAAAAAAAAAATGTACTTTAAGAGAGCGGGTGAGCAATGTGGACAGAGTGGCCAGAGCCAGAGAAGATTTCTGGCTGACCTGGGCAAGAACCAGGGGCTGTGCCTTCTGCTTGCCAGTCTGCCAGCCAGCCTGCTTGGCAGAAGGGCTGTGAAGGAGATAAGAAGAAGGTTTTAAAAACTGACAACAGCTGGGCGGTGGTGGCGCATGCCTTTAATCCCAGCACTCAGGAGGCAGAGGCAGGCGGATCTCTGTGCGTTCAAGACCAGCCTGGTCTACAAAGGGAGTTCCAGTAAAAGCGCAAAGCTACGCAGAGAAACCCTGTCTCGAAAAACAAAATCAATCAATCAATCAATCAATCAATCAATCAATCAGGAGGCTAAGGAGACAGCTCGGTCGGTAAAGTGCCCAATACTGAAATGAGGACCCACGTCCAGATCTCCAGAACCCCAGTTAACAAAAGCGCCAGATACCTATAACCCCAAAGCTGAGGTGGGCTGAGACAGGAAGATCCCTAGAGCTCATAGGTCAGCCTGTTTACCCAACTGGGGAGCTCCAAGGTCAGGGACCCTTTAGACCCTGTCTAAAACATCAAGATGTAGGGCTTGGAAAGATGCCCTAGAGGTTAGGGTACTTGCTGCTCTTTCAGAGGACCAGAGTTTGGTTCCCAGCCTAGGATCTACATTCAGTAGCTCACAACCACCTATAACTACAGTTCCAGGGGATCCAACATGCCCTCTTTGGTGGAAGTAGCTGGGCAGTGGTGGTTCACGCCTTTAATTAATCACAGCACTCAAGGCGAGCCTGGTCTACAGAGTGAGTTCTAGGACAGTCAGGGCTACACAGAGAAATCTTGTCTTGAAAAACCATCAATCAATCAATCAATCAATGTGGAAGCTGGGTGTAGTGGCCTATGCTTTTTTTTTTCATTCTTTTTTAAAATCAATCAATTAATTAATTAATTTAATGCTGAATGCCGTTTACTGAAGGAGGAGGTCTTTTTTTTTAAATTTATTTATTATGTATATAGTGTTCTGTCTGCATGTATGGCTGCAGGCCAGAAGAGGGCACCAGATCTCATTACAGATGGTTGTGAATCACCATGTGGTTGCTGGGAATTGAACTCAGGACCTTTGGAAGATCAATCATTGCTCTTAACCTTTGAGCCATCTCTCCAGCCCCATGGGAGGAGGTCTTAAATACAGGCTTACAATACAATGGAAGAACCCTGGAGGGCAGAAGTTCGCTACCAATGTTTTACAATCTTGCATCTAAGCTGTTAACGCCTATTATGCAGGATAC